AGTCAGTTATTTGTTTTGTGGGCGTCTGAATTGCCGAATCTTTAGTGTTAATGTTTACGAATTTGTAAATGTGTAAATTTACTGTGTCAATCTTACTGCAACAAAAGCGAATTTCGACAATTAATGTCTTTTCAGTGATGCTCGCAGCCATCATACTTGGAAAACAATAACTTAACAAACGTTGAAGAGCTGATTATCCAAAAAGGATCTAAAGTAAAGCCAAGTGATGAGATCAACACGTTTGTATTGTGCGTAGTGGTCTTATTGCAAAAACTTGGAAGTCGTACATTTAACACGCTCGCTACAGTAGCCAAAACTTTCTCCATCCTAATTACTCAGTGAATAGATCGCACCTAAACTACTCATTTTTCGCATTTAAAAGTATACAGGATTTGTTTTCATTTGTAAATAAAGTTCGTAATGTGTTTAGACGCGTTAAACATGTTAAAGCTTTGAAAGGCTAGTTAGGCCTCTAATAAATTCTCAGTTCAATTTTCTGTCTTTTTTTATCTTATGTTTTTCCTTCGAGGCCAAGAGTATCAAGAGGTAAAGATTGCATCATTTTCAATTTTTTTGCTTTTAAATTGCACCTTTTTATTTCTGAAGAGGTCATTAGCAATTCTTCCACCAGTATCAAGAGGTAAAGATTGCATTATTTTCAAATTTTTTGCTTTTAAATTGCACCTTTTTATTTCTGAAGAGGTCATTAGCAATTCTTCCACCAGTACAATGGGTTGAAAAAACGGAGTAAAAAAAGCGTAACTCTGTCTTGTTTCTTCGACTTATTCTTATTCCGCTAATTAAAGGAGAGCGCTGTAGTTTTGGGAATGATTAAATTATCGGCTTTATTCAGAAGGTAGAAGACCTGGATGCTTCATATCTTGTATGCAGATACCTTATGTTACGAAGTTTTCGTCTGTCATATGTCCAATGTCCTTGACCTCATTTTGAAAGGTTCAGCGACTGCTTGAACAAAAATTGAGTTTTTTGTCATTTGAATTTCTCACTTATTATGAGTAATAGGATAACTATATTTGGTATGTGGGTTCCTTGCAACGTCTACATGTCCTTCAGACATGGTCCACCTGACCTCGACCTCATTTCATAGATCAGTGATCAAGGTTAAAGTTATTTGATTAGTGCCGTTTCTCATATACTATAAGCAGTAGATCAACTATATGTGGTGTATGGAATGACTGTAATGGGTACATGTCAGGCTTGCATGTTTCATCTGACCTTGACCCCATTTTCCTGGTTCATTGGTCAATATTAAGTCTTTGTGTTTTGGTCTGTGTTTCAAGTACTATAAGCCATAGGTCAACTTTATTTGGTGTATAGAATGATTGTAAGGTATATATATCTGTCTGGCAGATATCATCTGACCATCACCTCATTTTCATAGTTCATAGGTCAATGCTAAGTCTTTATTTGTTTCGGTCTGTTTTACGTGTACTTATATACGTTAGTGCTGTCTTTTTGTAACGTCATGGTATCTATGTGTGTAAACGTCATTGTTACTCCATCATTAAATCGTTCATTTGTATAGACATTTTTCCCCCTCTTTATGTGTATATTTCTGACAGTTTTCGATTTAACTCAATCAATAGTGCTTAACCATGTTGTCAGGATAAAGTGAGAAAGGTTCCGAATAATTTTGGCGGGAACAGGCTCGCGAGGGTAAAATAGGAATATCCAAAATGGCAAATACCACGGCAGAGAGGGGAATTTGAGGCAAATTCACCGGCAGTGGTGAAAAACAGGCAAATTCGTTTGAAATGAGGAAAAAATGCTAGAATATGCGAAAAATACACTGGCTAACAACCAATCAAAATCCGGCATTCTTATATAAGGTGTAATTAAAATAAAAATTGTTCGGAACATTTTGTATCATACAAATTTTCTGCACTGAGATGAATCTGAGCAGACTTCGCTCATCGTCGACGTCAGGGGGTTCTCTTTAAGAAAGTATTACTATATTGAGATATGTTTCACATCATAAAATGATTAACAATTCCAGCTTTTTGTTCAACTATTTAAATTTCACAAATATTAGACGTTTTTAAAAACTAATCGATATCGACATGTACACAGAATGGCTATACCTAGGACGACATGTAACCTAGCTTTTCGCTAGGAGTATCTCAAGGTTATCAAAGATTCCATGTAGTTACATTAAAATTATCTGATGGTGGTTTATTAGAAATATATTATACACATTACTATATACAACATCTATTTATTTCAATAATTTATTAATTCCTTTATAACTTGTAAGTTAAGTGAAATAGAATTGCCAAATGCTCAGAATGTTCTTTGTGAAAATTCAAAGAAACGGTGAAATTAAATAGTTGAGAAACATATCTTAATAAAGATTATGTAATACCTAACATTGAGAATGGAAATGGGGAATGTGTCAAAGAGACAACAACCCAACCAAAGAGCAGAAAACAGCCGTAGGCCACTAAAGGGTCTTAAACACAACGAGAAAATCCTGCACCCGGAGGCGTGCTTCAGCTGGCTCCTTACTTTATAAGCTGGAATGATGTTTTTACTGTTACAACTATTCAACACATTATAATCGATTAAGGATTTTTCGATCGCGGCTTTATTCTCCCATGCTCATATGGTGTATGGTTCAACTGTATATGATCTAACAATTTAACCGAATATTGTGTCCTGCATCCGCTACTCTCGAGAAAGCAGCGGACGCAATGTTACATTATCATATTCAAGACTAGACCTGGATCCAAGGCTTGCGTATGAGTGTAAATTTTACACAATACAGATATATTAAATAGAATTGGTTTCCACTTAGTTAACAGTAAATAGAATAATTCATTTTTGGCAATTGCCTCTTTATCTATTGTCCGACGGATAGCAGATTCATTGAAAGGTATACAATTTTTTAATGTGAACAAACAAACGCCATTCGTCACAACTCGGCCGATTCCGTACCTTCACGTAGCGGATTCACCCGAGGATTGCCGATTGAAATAAACGCTCGGATGTCCGTAAACTGGATTGTTCATCCATGTGATTTTGTCAGCTGTTCGGCTGTTTCTGCATGCTAGGCAATGATCAGTATTCAATTGTATTCTGTCTACACGCATATGTCGGCTTCAACCACAGTTGCTTGAAGATCGATCCTCCATTTTCATGATGCAATTCAATACAGGCAAATGCCACAATCAGTAAGTCTAGAATAATGCAAAACATCGGTAGTTTTAACAAACACGGAGAATAAATCCGTTGATGTAAAGCACTTGTGCAACAGATTATATGCGATGATAGTTCTATCCTATGGGGCTAATTTGTAATCAAATAATCGATACACACCCAGGATTTGTAGTTAATAAAGTTTAACATGTTTCATAGATATAGGAAGATGTGGTATGAGTGCCAATGAGACAACTCTCCATCCACGTAACAATTTATAAAAGTAAACTATTATAGGTAAAGGTACGGCCTTCAACACGGAGCATTGGCTCACACCGAACAGCAAGCTATAAAGGGCCCCAAAAACTACTAGTGTAAAACTATTCAAACGGGAAAACCAACGGTCTAATTTATATAAAAACGAGAAACGAGAACTACATAAACAGACGACAACTACAGTACATCAGATTCCTGACTTAGGACAGGTGCAAACATTTGCAGCGGGATGAAACGTTTTAATGGTACCAAACCTTCTCCCTTTTCTGAAACAATAGTATAACATCACAACATAGAAAGACACACTATAAAATATCAATTGGAAGGCTTAACTCAATCAAAAAACGTAAATTAACACACAATGAACGAATAAATTTGATCTGTGATACCTGAATGCAAATACATATGTAATAAAAATTATAAGGGATAAATAATTAAGGTCAAAAGTTAATAAACAGGTTTAAACAAAGTTAAAGTATGATACCACTGTGAAATGTTTTTAGAAAATCATCACTATAGAAAAACCTGCGTCATATTATACACAGGGAAATGAAAATACTTTTGTTCCTTAGTATACTTCTTCTTCTGTGTGTATAAAATCTTAAGAATGGAAATAAACATTTTAAAGATTTCGGGCATCAGAAACGTGTTTATGTATGAGTTTCGAACAGCGGTATACTACTTTTGCCTATATTTATGGATTATCCTTCATGAGAATAGGCTAAAACCTAAACATTTTAAAACAAGGAAGCCACTGTCAACAACAGGAGAAAATAAGTATGTAATAGGTTGTAGTATCCAACTATTTGTACTGATGAAAGCCATATCGGTTGCACCAACTCTCCCACACTTTACATGTCTAATTCAAACACATCCGTTTGCCCTGTTGGTTTCAATAAATGATAGCTAAGAACTTTTCTCATTGTTAAAGGTCGTACCGTTGCCTATAATGCTGACATCCACTGCATTTGAACACTTGAGGATAGCTGTCTCAATGGCAATCATACCACATCTCCTTATTCTTATTTTGGTATACAGTTTGGTCAACTTTGATAATACGCAAAAAACAAAAAAAACCTTTTATTGTAGTCCTACTTTGCGGTATTGGTTTTGCTGATTGTTAAAGGCCGTATGGTGACCAATAATTGTAAACTTCTAAGCCGTGTGGGCTCTGTTGGAGAGTTGTCTTATTGGCAATCATACCATATCTTCTTGCTTTTATTTTTACCTTAAGATACATTTGTAAATACTGATAAAATGCTTTTTGATCATTGAGTTAAAAAAAGGGCAATGTATTCTTATAATCGAATTGTGAAATTGAATTGTGCATACATGATATATAGTTTTCCTCTGTGTTTTTTATATTTTATAAATATTAAACGTGTGTACACGAGGAAAATGATAGCCGATATAAGTAAACAAAGAAGTTGATTGCGGGAACGGTTTTGTATACTAGGACACTAACGTAATTGGTATAAAATTAAATTGAAAATGTTTCTTCAATGAAAATAGTGCACAGAAATAAACTAGACGATAATTTCTCGATTCACACATTCCATGTAGTGAATACATATCAGTTATCGACGTGGATACATTATTTGCAAGAAAAATGGATTTAAGAGACGGTTATTTAATGTGTTTATTTTGTCTAGTTGCTTATTTGTATCACTGTATTCGAGTTATTCATGATGAACTAGAGCACAAGAGTTCTACAATTGCTGCACTGAAACAAACTCAGGATGATATAGTTGTAAGTTAACGTATTCTTTTATTTTCATTTTGATATAAGAATTTCACAAAGCATATGTAAATTAGTAGAAGTCTTTCCAAGTTCTGCTTTACACGGATTTGGTTTTGTAAAGCTGATAAATTTCTTAATGCTGTCTATTTATATATCTGTGTAATTATGACTTTTTTGTGATTATTGAAGTCTTTTCGGCAGTGTTCCATTCTTCGTACGGAAATGTTTTATTTTAATTCCCCGAATTGATTGATCGATAGGGAAATTAAAATCATCATGTTTGTCACACGTAATAATTAGAAGTCGTCTCTCTATATATATACAAATCAATATTGAGGAAAATTATAAGATATGAAGATAACCTTCTAGTTACAGTAGAATCCTTAACCTCAAGTTGACTTATTGAAATGTGGTTTATTGAGTGACAGAAAATAATCAATTTATGACAGACTAAACATGAAATACTAGTGACAAGTACTAGTACGTACAGCTATAGCCACAAAATAGTCTAATTATCTATGTTAAAAATCTGTATAATTTATCATTACTTGAACTCTAAAGTGGTTTTTTTTCTACAATTTCTCGTTGGGTTAGTTTGATGTAGATGGTATCGAATAGTAGGACTTTTGATTAATAGCAGTATATTGGTAATTGCTTTAACTGGAAATTCATTACTTTCCAGAAAGAAGCAGAACAACAAAAGTTCAAGCTTGACGAGCTCCGGACTAAAATCTCTATCAACACAGATGATAATCTAGTACTACGAGAAAAGATATTATTGAATCATCATAATATCAAAACAATCGATGGAACTTTTGTTGACTTAAGAAGAAATTTGTCTTCTCTACAAAACATAGTAGAGTCAAATGTAGGATATATCACGGTAATGCGGAAACACGAAATGCAAATGAACAGATCTATCATTAGAACGAAAACCGAAAATAAACAACAAATTGCAGACCTGAACGAGAAAAATGCACGGCTTCAATCTGATCTAAATGATGTAAAAGACGCACACGTAGAAACTAATGCACAAATGAACCGATCAATAATGGTGCTTCAAAAAAATGTATCATCTTTACAAAACAAAGTAGCCCTATATGGAGCCACTATTACGGAAATGCAAAGACACGAACTACGAATGGACAAATCTATTATCAAAATGAAAACCGAAAATATAGAACAAATTGAAGATTTGAAAAAGACTATTGCAAGGCTTCAATCTGATCATCATGATGTAAAATTCGCACACTTCGAAACTAAGGAACAATTGATTCAAACAAAAATGCACTTAAGAAATGAGTTGCTGTCTTTACAAAAAAAGGTAGAATCAACCGAAGTGAATATTAAGGCAATAGAGAAAGAAAACTTACAAAGAGAAAGAACAATTGGAGAAATGAAAACCGAAATTATTAGAGATTTTAAAGATGTTTTTGAAAAACTGGCGAAACATCTTAAAGATACATTTGAACAAATAATTCATCAAATTGATCATGTTTATGATGTTACTACGCGCATAAATGGTAGAATAGATGAATTAGAAGTACGTTTAGATACATTAGAAGTACATCTAGATAATTTAAAAGTACATCAACACGATACCGGCATTGTATGGCTAATCAAAAAAGGAATATCAAAGCTTGCACAGATAGCATTGAACTTTTTTCTTGGACCAATAGCTGGACTCATTGAGTAAAATATAATAAGCCATCACTTGTCTTGCCATTTACTTTTGATGAATAATGCACCTTTGCTGTTTGTCCCTCTGAAATCGGAAAAAATATAGTAATCATAATCAACACCTCTAATACATAATCACAGCTACTGCATAGCAAGTCAAAACTTTGAATGCCAATTTAGAGTTACCAGAAATTTGGATATACCCAACCAGCACTTCATATATGAGAAACTGGCAATAGATGCCCTCAATTTTAGACTTCATTCATACATTTTTGTATCATTCAAAATTATCATGAAATTGTGTGTTCCACAAACATCACCAGTCTTTCACCTTCATCTGATACCTTAATTACTAAAATATATGCTATATAGTTTTAAGAATTACACCTGTGCGTAGGAAATGTTTTGCTTTGAATATGTTCTACCTTCCAGTATGTTCTTTTTTTAGCGGGACCGATTAAGTGGTGATATATCTTACAAAGTCTATCCAATTTTTTTGTAGAGAATTCCGCACAAGCCGGTGCTAGAGTCCGTCTTAATCTTGCAGCGGGGTGAAAGTTATTTTTTGCTCCATGCTGTAGGCCTCACTGTGACTTTGGGATAAAGAACTTCAAAAACAGTGCTGTTCCTTTGCTTTTTGTTTGTTTCGCGGTGTATTTACTGATTTTTTGTCATGGATGGACACCCATATCCTTTGATTATTTATTAAAAAAATCTACTAAATATGACCAGCTTCAATGCTACAAGTTTTTCAGTGTTGAGAAAGTGGAAGACTATAAGATGTTGGCAATGACGAAAAATTATACATCGACGAAATAAAAAGCAAATACCCTGTCGATCAGAAAAAACAAAGGAAAAAAAATCAAGAGTTTACAAAGCATTACACAGAAGAAAGCTAAAGATGAGCAATCAAAACCCAATTAAAAGTAAATGGCGAAGTAAGGTGTCCCCTTAATGGTTTCTCTCCCCTTTGGTGATTTGTGTGGTGTTGCTCATACTATGTAAACATTGGTGATCAGTCGCATTTGGAGATGTCAAAAAACGATATATTTGGCTACGAAAGGAGAAAAATATCCGTTGTTATCTGTGAAACAGATATCTTATAACAGTCAACCAAATCTTGATATAAAATAATGTATGCTGAATTTATTTTCTTCAACCGAATCTTTTATAACGAAAGAATGTTTTTGGCATTATTTTTGTTCAACCGATTCATAATAATGAAAGAATGTTGAAGTGAAATCCTCATCACTTTAATGGATTAAAGGATTTTTATTTACATACGTCAAATTATCTCGTAATGTTCATAATACATACTAAAAATTACGAAAATAAATTTAAATGAAGTTTTGTCTGATAAGCAGCCAAAACATTTTGAACAACGAAATAAACGTTAGACAAAAATAATCTATTGCAAATAATCAGACAAATTTTATTATCTAGGTCAGATACGGTACATTTTCGACTTTTTAGTTTTGAAAGAAGAAATTTAAGTTCAAAAGTTATCTTCAGAAGGCATGCTTTGAAAACAACAAGATAAATAAAGTCTAGACAAACACCTATAGCTATCTGCTATCTTTACACATATTTCAGACACACCCACATCCATGTACTTTCTTTCTTTCTTTTGTATAAGCTTCCTATCTTAGGAACACCCCTTAATGGGGATTATTTACACAAATGGGTAAAAAAGTAAATTTTCTTAGTGTTTAAAAGAAATTTAAGATGTGAATTTAAAAATAAAACAAAAATACAGGGGTTGGTCCAGTAGAAGTGCTCTGTACAAATAGTGATAATGTAAGATAAAAAATATTTAAAAGCGACTTGGAATGCAGATATGTTTAGAGGGGATTAGAAAATATATATGTTTTTTCTACATTGACTAGAGGTATAGGGGGGGGGGGGGGGTTGAGATCTCACAAAACATGTTTAACCCCGCCGCATTTTTGCGCCTGTCCCAAGTCAGGAGCCTCTGGCCTTTGTTAGGCTTGTATGTTTTTTTAATTTTAGTTCATTTATATGTTTTGGAGTTTAGTGTGACGTCCATTTTCACTGAACTAGAACACAATTTTATTTAGGGGCCAGCTGAGGACCACCTCCGGGTGCGGGATTTTCTCTCTGCATTGAAGACCCATTGGTGGCCTTCGGCTGTTGTGTGCTCTTTGGTCGGGTTGTTGTCTCTTTGACATATTCCCCATTTCCATTCTCAATTTTATTGGAAACTTAAAATCTAAAATCATCTGATTTAACATATGTATTCTAGATACGTAAGAGCGATTAAGTACATAAATTAATAAACGTTCATTGTCTATAACATCTATACATCATTCAGACCTTCATACACTATTTATTTACTTAATGCAGATAAAAATAGGTCAGATTCAAAATTATTTCAGTTAGCGTATCAGTGGGTCAAGAAGCGTATTGAATTTTGACATCATCTTGAGTTCTAAATAGGAATAGTTTGTTATCAAATAGTCCGTTTCTATGTATGTTGGCGTTTTCTTTTGTTGCATTCTAGTGTTTCTGTTGTTCCGTTGTTTTCCTGTTATAGTTGTTGTGTTTTCCTCGGTTCTAGCTGGTTATCCGGATTTCTTTTCTCTCTATCGAATTATGAATATTGCACAGCGGTATACTACTGTTGCCTTTATTAATCCTCTAAGCCATGATCATTGATAACGTTTCCTTGTTTTTGACGTTTTACTTCTGTTTTATAGATGCATACTGCACATCTCCATAATCTTATTTGTGTTATTTTAATATTACAATACGAAAACATATACGACAGCTTGGACACATTTTTAGACGATAGCAATTTGCCATCAAATTCAAGACAAAGCCACCACCTTCTGTGATATATTGATTATTATCACAGACACAATTTAACGACAAATTTCACCGAAATTAATAAAACTGTCGTATTTGTGAGCAAATTATACAATCATGTTAAATAACAACTGATAAAGATTTACAATGATTATTGAGTTTTGTAATAAACATGTTACCAAAGAATCAATTCACATCTTCTAAATTGAATTGAATTTTACATCCCCATCAATATTTGTCTCTTTATATATATTTTAACAGTTGTGCATCTTTAATAATACAGTTAGCTTTAAATGCAAATCATCTTTAATAAAGAAAAACAAATTGGCTCATTGCATTGACACGATTAGTGTTTCAAACAATCTTACGAATTAAGAAGATGATAGGTATACTTTAATATGGTTAATTGTTTGATATCGCACTTTTAAAAGGACAAACCATTAAAAACATATAACATAAGACAAGAATCTTCACTTGAGACAAGCACATTAGCATATGTCGGGATACATTTACATATTAAATCTTTCTTAAAATAGAAATACCAGAGACCAAAGAACGTCGATGTAAGAGACTACAAGTCACTGTACGCTCTTCAGAAGTGAGCAAAACGCATGAAACTCTATTCAAAATTTGAGCTCCATCTGATTATACGACTTTATATTTGTCAATTTCATAAGGTGTTAAATGATCAATTATGTAACTCTGGATTGCTTTATTTTAAAGAGTATCAATACCATGGATTGAGGAAAATTTGTTTTTTCAGTGGCAATTGTATTCGTGGTTTGATCAAAGTCTGATATGTTTCAAACTAAAATTTATGATTTAAATTTACACAAGACATCCAAGCTCAGATCATAACGTTACTTTTGTACGTTAATTGTGAATCATAAAATTTTCGAATACACAACACAAATTTAAAATTATATTGAAAAAAAAACCAAAATGTGCTGTTAGCAGGAATTCCAATAGAAAATTACATGAAGTTGTGTCTTGTTAAATAATAAATTTCTGAGTGTTTGCAATATGTTATGCTTTAAATTTTACGAATTATTATCTACTTTCTGGTGTGCTTTTCTATATCATTGAATAAATGATTTAGAAAAAAACCCACATCATATTCAAGTATACTCTTATAAAATGAAATATAACATATTAAAACCCAAGACATCATGTTTTATATTTTAGATATCTGTGTTTAATAGTTCTTGTTTTTCGTGCTTTTACGTTTTCCTTTGCAATTTTCCTGGCGAATAAAACATGAGTAATTAATGTGCTTTGTTCGTTCAGATTTATTAATATATCAATCATATATATTGGGTTGAATGTTCTTTTGTCCTAACTTATACCATTAACAACAGTAAAACAATGCTACATGTTTGTTGTTCATTTAGCTTTGAAACCTGTCTGTCCGTTTGGAGTAAACGATTGAGGTTACATATTTATTTGTCTCTTTCTTTGTTTTTCGAATAGAACTTTGAGATTTGCATCCGTGGCCCCTTATTTCTTAAACAATGCTAAGTGTAAACTGGATACTTCTAAAACTGAAGATGCTGAAAATCGACGACCTAGTTCAGGGATAGTGTCGTTTATCAAAAAGGAAATATAATAGGTTGTACAGATCATTTATAACTTTTTTTGGACTAGACTTTTAGAATAAAAAGGAATCAAACATCTTCAGTTTTTTTAAAATATTTTGTCTTTTAGCATCACTGAAGAGACGTTTATTTTATTGTTGTCAAAATGCATACTATAGTGGGTAAAAATGTTTCCGGTAATGTTTTTCAAAATAGATTTGGACGAATAAAGCACTTTTACTGACCATCTTTGTGACGCTGTCATTATAAGCAATTACAGAAACAAAAGACATAGCACATGGAGCCTTAAATGATATGTATGTTGAATGTCAATAGACTATTCTTCTTATTCATATGCGGGATGAGAAAATGTTAATCTGATATGAATTTGTCAAATGTATTCTTAACATGCTCTCTGTTATGTTACTATATTTCGTAATCTTGATCCTATTTCAATTCAATGACCTTCGGCTTTCTTTGTTTCTTCGTCCCCACTCTATGAGTTTTTACAGTTTGTTCTTCTTTTGTGCTTTGACACCACTGTCTCAGGTTTGGGGAGTATTGGGCGCAAACAATCATGTTTAATCTCGCCACATTCTTTCTATATATGTGCCAGCCCCGATAAAATAAAAACAAAAAACGAAAAACTAAAAAACAAAAACAAAAAGAAAAGAAAACGGTATCTAGTGGTTTTCATTGGTCACATTCGTTTTTACTTTTTTTAAATCATGTGATGCCAGGGCCTTTTATATCTGACGGAATGGTATGAGTGTTGTACAGTTTGGAAGACCGCCGTACAGTGACTATATTCGGACTCAGTTATATAGTTGTTCCATTTGCAATCATAAAACATCGCCTTATTTGATAAAGAACATAAAATGATGTTATACTATTGTTTCAGATAAGGGTGAAGATTTGGTACCATTAAAACGTTTAAACCCGCTGCAATTGTTTGCACCTGTCCTAATTCAGGAATCTGATGTTCAGTAGTTGTCGTTTGTTGATGTGGTTCATAAGTGATTCTCGTTTCTCATTTTTATATAGATTAGACCGTTGGTTTTCCCGTTTGAATGGTTTTACACTAGTAATTTATGGGGCTCTTTATAGCTTGCTGTTCGGTGTGAGCCAAGGCTCCGTGTTGAAGACCGGACTTTGATCTATAATGCTTTACTTTTATAAATTGTTACTTTGATGGAGAGTTGTCTCATTGGCACTCATACCACATCTTCTTATATCTAATAAAAGATAACATTACACAATATGACTTTTTTTGTAAAGAAGAATATGACTAATACTTAACAGCAAAGTATCCTCTAAAAATGT